ATCTATAAAAAACAAACAAGGACAAAATGATTTTTATGAGAAAAATAGAGAGGCAAATACAATTATGCAAATAAACAAAACAATTTTTTTTTGCAAAAAAACTGCAGGGGATACGGTAACAGACAACACAGACTTGAAATATACATGTTTGAAGAAATATTTGTATTCATACCAGTGAAACAAAAACAACTTTTAAGACATTGGGCGGATTGGATTAAGATAAACTGTATATCCAACAGAACAACTTTGAATACTCTATGCAGGTTCTTTTGAATCAACAAATATTGCAAAGATGCACAGTCAAGAACTAATATGAGTGATATGTTGACTTAAATACAAATCACAAAAGCCATTACATTCGAACAGAGCAATAAAAAATAGCGTATTCACAACCAGAAGGGTCAGTCCAAACCTGAAACTGTTATTACTCTTGCACCTATCACTACAACCTGGACACTACACCAAAGGACTCAAGCTTGCGTCAAGTGTACAATAATCTGTCACCATGAACAGGCAGACACAATTTTCTAATGTTACATGGTACAGATGTTCAAAGATAAAATCACTGTTCGAATTCTGCTAAATTACACTTGTTAATTATAGATTGAATTTAAATTTACAAATGTCACTCACTCAAATAATAAATACAGAGAATCACATGGAATGAAGTCACTTACTATGTCCATCATTGATCTCCAGAATATACACAGTTATCTCAGTACCACCATCATCTTTAGGCCGATCTACAAAACAAAACACAACACATGATATCATTATATTTACCCACACACAACCGGATTTGTGTCACTATTTTCATATTCTTGTATTCCAATGTAGATATTCTGACAAACCAGACCAAATTTCAGTTTCAACATTTTAAAAATATAAACGAGCACACTTTAAAGACAACTGTAACATGTTAACAATTTTAAATTACATTTGAAAATAACCTGACCAATCACAATACCAAGGTGGATGAATTCCACAATGATCAGTGTGATCTTTGACCAATTGTGACAATTTCCCTGCTACCTAAAAATAAATATGTTTTACAATTTAAACATTCTGTGCTAAATTACAGTGACAATTCCAACTCTATATTTGCAAATTTTAAAACATTGTGAATTTATTTGGTCTCTGTTCTGAGTAAAACAGCCATGATTGACGAAAAGACTCAAGAGACTCACGGATACCAAATGTCTTCTCTAAAATCCTGATTCGATTGTAATATAGAATACAAGTTTTACAAATTTCCAAAAAATAAAAGATTCATCACTAAGTAAAATTCAGTATATAATCATAGTAAACTGTTAAATTTTTGTTGCCAAAAATGTACACAATTGTTAGTACCCCTACAATGTAATCCCCAGTAACATTAATATGTTCTAACTTGATAACAAAATTCACACAAATTTGTGGTTGAGAGTATATTGTATATAACATTTTATTTGCAGGCTGTTCTAAACACACAACCAAAAGTTTGTAAGTGATACACACAGTAACTGACAAGTGACAACTTACCCCATGTAACTTTAAAATGATTTGAATGTACTTTTCCTTTGAGTGTAGGTTTTGATGGGGCACCAGGCTTATCAGCAACTGTAATAAAACTGATAGCTTCACTCCATGGACTGTTACCTTGATCGTTTATGGCACATAACTAGATAGTGAGAAAATAATGCAATTAAGATTAAAACAATGTAAAAAAAAAAAATAATAACAATGAAACTATTTTTCTAATCAGAATCATTTTGTTTTGAATACCAGCAACTGAAACTTATTACCTAGGTTAAAAAAAATAGACCAAATGATTGGTCACTTAACAACAGTTTTTTGTCAAAAAATGAATGGCAGTTCTTTTTTTTTTTGTGTTTTCGGGCAGGGTATAACACGATTACATATTGGTATGTACAGATTTCCACAGTAACCTTATCAGGTCTATGCATAAATACAAAGCATCAGTGAAATCTAATGACTGGTTCTTGAGATATGGGTGAAACAGACACAAGTTTACAGACATCCACACAGATGAACTAAACTGCAGTGATTCCCTGTGTGTGCCTTGACACAACAATCAAATACACATATGCAAATTACTGAACTCGTAGCAGGCAAGAATAAGTTGAACATATAAATAAAAGACTTGATGACCAAACCGGACACAATAATTCAACTAATAGATTTCTAGCTTTAGATTTAGTGGATTTCCACTAGCAAACTATTCCAAAAATATACCAAGTATAACAGGAATTGAGATAATAGCTTTCAGGAAGAGATTGAATTTTTTTTTTTTTTTTACCTAAACAGAAATAAAGAATTTAATATATCGAAACAAAACAAAAATCTGACAGGTGTCAACCCAATACATGTGCACTATCAATATCAGCACTGTAGACAAAATAGTGTCATAGTAGAAGTCATTTAAGCATTTTAATTTTAATTTTTGGTGGTCAACTTCTCATGAACAAATTTCCATCTACACCAGGGACCATAGCACCAAGACCCAAATGATTTCCAAGACTTTTCCAGACCTTTTCCCAAACTTTCTTGCATTTTTCCAAGACACTTTGACCCATAATTCGGGCACGGGAATAGCAATTACTGCAGACACTGAAGAGAACTGGGGTAGAAAACACTTTATATAAAAAGTTTCTATGCAGAGAAAACGGCCTTTCTAAAATGAATTCCGGTGCCGGTAATAACTATGAAGAAATTTAAAGACTTTTCAAAGATCCACACCTCAAAAAATCCAAAGACTTTCAAAGGATTTTCCCAATGTTATGGACCCTGTACACTCATCATCTCTTCAAAAATTCAGCACTTTTATAAAGCCTAGTCTGTTGAGCTAAAACATTTTTGCATGATGAGGATATTAGAATATTGTTACAGTACTGGTAGTTCTGAATTCAAAAAGTGGTCAAAATGTGTCATACTAGGACATTGGATGTACGAATGAAAGACATTTCATGTATATTTAAATTATGTTTACTTCAAATCACTCACAGTAATAAGGGACGACGTCAAAAGATCTATGTAGGATAAAAAACTTAATTCCTTTAGCCCCCCTTTCCCCCCACTGAAACTTAATTGATAAATATTGATCATGGCGTCAGACTACATTCACCATTAAACACAAATAGATAATCGAACAGTAGTATGGCATATCAGCTGGTTGTCGTGTGGATGTAAAAAGACTTTACAAATGCACCAATAACAAAGAAAAACAAGCTTTATTTGTACCTTTCTTTTAAGAAGTACATTTAATTTACAAAGGTAGGTAGTACAATGAAATTGTCATTACACATTGTTTGCATGTTCTCATGTAGTAAATATCATCATTACCCTTCTTATTTTTTAATACTAATCAAATTGCGTCTCCATAACTTTTTTTTTTTAAAAGTCAAAAGGAATTAATGAAGGGGAATATATGCATTCGCAAACTACTTTTCTGGGTTCTGCGCATGCTCTTGGTCCAGCCCTGAAATTGACCTCATTTGACGCACATATTGACACCCGGACCAAACCATTTTCTCTTGGATGTTTTTTTTTCATTTTCTGTTATTTTTGTCCATGATTGAATAGAAAAAAATGAACTACAAATACTCGTTTTTGTAGAATGGAAACTTTTTGAGGTCAAAACCTCAAAACCCACCCCTAAACTAAAGCAAATAAGTTTTTTTATTCGACATCGATTTTTTGACGTCGTCCCTAAGAGAAAACAACACAAAGGTTTCATTGGATAGTACTTACCCTAAATTTATATAAAGTTTTTCTGACAAGGCTATTACAAGTATAAGAAATTTCATCACCACAAAAAATCGGTTGGAATCCATACCGCTGTAAAGCAATGGAGAAGTTCAGCATTAACTTACAAATGTACGTTATGGATATCAAGGTTGGGGAGGAGAGGGGTGTAAGACACACATTAACCACGACATCAGATCAAATGTATGTGTTAAGAACATAATGAAAACATCACAAACCAATGGACAAAGACATTTATTTGTTTTCAGTCAGTGACTTTGAAATGTGATTTGGTTCATATAGCTTCAGCAAGAGTGAGCACACACTGACACAAATGAAGGATTTATAGTTTCTTGATACACAGTGACATGTATACATTAATATGTATATAGTCCAAAAATACTCATCAGAGAAAGTACCGGCATTAAAACTCTTCTCCACACATGTGATTTTCAATACTATGTGCATCAACATGTAGTTATAGCAAAACATTTGACATTATAAATAATATATTGCTATGTAATAAGGCATATGATAAATCATATCTACATGTGGTATTGAATTACCGGTAATGTACAGAAGTGGCGACAAGTGACACACAAACAGTAACATGTGACACTATAGTTGTGACATGTGACACACAAACAGTAACATGTGACACTATAATGGTAACATGTGACACAAAAACAGTAACATGTGACACTATAGTGGTGACATGTGACACACAAACAGTAACATGTGACACTATAGTGGTGACATGTGACATAGAAACAGTAACATGTGACACTATAGTGGTGACATGTGACACACTAACAGTAACATGTGACACTAGTGGTGACATGTGACACACAAACAGTAACATGTGACACTATAGTGGTGACATGTGACACACAAACAGTAACATGTGACACTATAGTGTTGACATGTGACACACAAACAGTAACATGTGACACTAAAGTGGTGACATCTGACACACAATAGGTAACTCACAAACAGAAACAAGTAAATTTGAAGTGATGGAAAGTTACAAAGGTGACATTGATTTGAAAATACATACATTTGTCACATCTTCCATTTCCAAAGTAAAACTAGTAATATCATCAGCAGCTTTCTCCCAGGCCAATGTGAGAGAACGAACAGCTGCTTCAACAAGTTGAGGGGGTGATGGTTGCTGGGGTACACTGCCAGCGGTGTAGTAACTAGCTGTCGGGCTAAATTCACTGTCAAATAAAACAGAACAGAAGAATCAATCACAGTTTGTTCAAGTTAGCAGGTGTTTCCACCATTCCTGCTCCCCACATTTTTTAGCAATCACATTATATCAAAGGAAACCTGGTGAAGTTTCAGCTATTTTTCACATATGGCAACTATAACTTTATCACAATTTTGAAGACATGGCTTGACAATTCACTGTTTCCTTTTATTTTATGATTGTATCAGTAGATGGTATATATCGTTTATATTGCTTGCTGTTATTGCAAAGTCTGTAAATTGGGAATTTTAGTCCTGCTGGTCTTCAAAATTAGTAACAACAACATTTTAACAATGTTAAGAGACCCGTTTCATGTAGGAATATACAGTCACTGATCAAACCTATGTTATATTACCATGAGATACTTCACACATCATTTAACAAATTTTCCTCCAAATTATCATGAGCAGACTTTTAATATTCCTGCCTGGACATTGATCATCATGTCTATATCACAAGTTCCCAAATAAAATAATTACCATAAAATCAGTATTACAAGGCGCATCCCGAATAGAAGTCGCACCCATTCTTTTTGAACAATTGAGAACCAAAAATTTACCATTTCTCATATGTGTATATGCTCTAATAGAAGCCACATCCCCTCTGTTGCATTGCACCATTTGAATAGAAACTGTGGCTTTTAATACAGATTTTACAGAGTACATGTATAACATTTAGGCATTAAGTAATATCAAGATACATGTAAATCACATGTGAATGAACTCCAACTAAAAATATACGTCCATAATCAGTATATAACAGTTTAATGTCAGCAATATGCTTCCACATCAAAATGCTAACAGTTCATGAGAAGTTTCAATTTCATGTACCAGTAAATCTTTCAACAATAAATACATTACTCTTTAGACAAACAAATTTCATTTTTCAGAACATTTGCGTAGCACAGTTTTAGAAAGTTTGTACATGATTTACTATCTACTAAACGGTGGAAAAGGTCACCATAATTCAGGATATGACAGGGCATATGTCACCACAGCCCGAGTGCATTCTAATAAACTCACCATTCGGTCTACAAAATGAAAAGTGTAATTACACTTAGTCTAATGTATAATATGGTATTAAATTTCATTTCTAAATAGCCTTGAAAGATATTTTATATACAGAAAAATGTAATAGTAAAGACCTGAAGACAAGAGATTTAATCCTTATTCATTATTTCTAAATTCTCAGTGATTTGCAGAGCAGTGTTTTGACATGTAACAACTGTTGACATGTGTAGACATGACATGTAGACTATTTATGATAGATATGAAAGCTAAATATTTGATTATTAATATGTGATAGAGTGTTAATTGTAAAGACAATATTAGTAGTATTAAATCTCAATTACAGGGGTTCATCTCCAGAGTTGAGAATGCATTCATCTACTGGTATAGGACATCAAACTTTGCTATTACATGAATATCCTATTAAAATATTACACAAATGAATACAGCTGATATTATGGAGAAGAGTAATTAAATCTTACTGATATTGAGATAAAACATGTTTAGAGTATTAAATCAATCAATACATTATACTATAGCTTAGTGAGGATGTATACATTAGAGGACCTTAGAGGCAGTTTATGGGTCAAAGGTCACTGTATACCAGCTCAAAAAATCAATGGTCAAAAAAAAAAAAAAAAGTGTTATTATAAATTAATGCGCTTAATCATGAAATAATATTCTGCGGAATTAGACCAAGTATTATCATGGGATTGACAACTTGTCTTTTAAGCAGAAAATAGATTGTAACTGTACTAATATTTACAAATGTTATTAACATATTTTTACTAATTTTACTGGAAAAATAGATCTGTTAATTATGTTTAATTTTTGATTGACTGAATACTAGGTTCTAATATCAGGGTTTTTGAAAGAATCAAATACACTTGGTATATTTAAAAAAGTTTGAATTAACAGCGCATTTAGCATTCAATGAAATGAGCAAAAAACATAAGCCCAGTGATTAAATAATCGTTTTGTTGGATGAAATCACACAAATAACCAATGGCATAAAGTTTCTATTTACCTTGTACCAATTTCATTAGTTGCAGCTAGTCTAAACGTATAAGGCATTGAAGGTTGAAGTTTAGTTAGTCTGTACAGTTTCTGTGTCCCTTTGAATACTTCTACAAAATTGCTATCCTTCTCTCCCTGCAGTAAGAAACAGTAGAGTATTAATAACAAGCCATGCATGGTACAGTCCCCGTTAGTTATCAAATTTAAGATATATAGTTTTGTTTATAGTAATATAGCTGGAATATAATTTTTTAACATTAAAATGATTGAAATTTGTATCTGATTGTCAAACAAGTACTTGTCCATATTGAGAGATATTGCTCTCGAACAGAATTCAAAATCGGCCATTTTGAATACATGTATATATATAACATGATGTATAACGAATATATAATATTTGAATATAATCAGTCAAATCCATTTATTTATGGCTCTAGAACCCCAATCATTAAAGCAAAATTGCCGTCAGTCAGCCATTTTGAATCCAATCTGAAAAATAAAATGACGTGCATCAGGAACCCATCTAATGTATGTACCAAGTTTGAACTGCTTGATATATGATGACTTTTTAGTACAAAAATGACCACCATTTGGGCATTTTGAATAGGATCGTCAAACCAATATATCTGTTTATCTATGACATGATGTATAATGAATATTTAAAATTTGAATATAATCAGTCAAAACAAGTCGGAGATATGGGTCTAGAAGCCCATTCATTAAAACAAAATGGCCACCAGACAGCCATTTTGAATCCGATCTGAAAAATAAATCATATGCATCAGGAACCTGTAATGTCTAATATATGTACCAAGTTTGAACAAAATCCATCCAGAAATGCTT